ACACAGCGTATTTCATATGAGGACATTTTAACTTTACTGGTGGACGAAAACCTCAGATGCCCTTCCGTGCATTATTTCAGGCACTTACGGTCATTAATGACCAAGAAGAACCAGAAAAGATACACCAACAAAAAAGTGAACTGAAATCTACAAAGAGGTGTAAGCAAACAAATGGGAACTTGGAACAGAACCGCATATTGAAGCGCATAAATCAATTCCGAATCCGTACCGGCTCTACATAGTGTTTGTGCGCCCTTGAATATATTTTCATATTTTTCAAATGACTGGTCTTTAATAATATAACTTCAATTTCATATAATCTGGTAGTTTACGGTATATAGAAAAAAGTTGTGGCATCCGCCATTTACCGCAACGTTTGGTGTAAGTTACCCCCTTGATATGCTTGATTTTTGTTTTAATATTTCTTGTACTCTCTTTAAGTCACTCATTGCATGGAATACTTGAACATTGTCTAGTAATTAATATAGACGAGTAGTCATCATGCCTAAACTATATTTTATACTTCACAACAGCAGGTGTCAAGTGCTGTGTGGCAGCTGTAAAAAGTTGCCCCGTACTTCACTTCAGTGTTGTTATATTTTTCTGGTCCTTCAGGATCATTGATGCCAGCACTATTAAGTGTTGAGAATTGAGTATTGCTCAACCGGTGTTAGGGGCGTGATGGATGTTGCACGTTTTCATTATCCCTCATGTACAGACTCAATCAAACCGAGTCTGCAATTCTCCTGTATTTTGTTGTGAGTAATGCTTCCGCGGGATCACTTTGTTTCCAGATTTTTTTTATCCATTGATCATTTTGAAATATTCCATCTGTCAGTATTTTAGTGTATTTATCCAAATCTAAACATTTTGATAGCTATGTATGTATTTGAGACGCATCGAATTGAGGTAAAAAAGTTGAAAATCAAGCATTGACATTTGGCGCCAAACAAGCAAGAAACTGACCTTAAAAATTGTTCTCTTTTAGGTCCCTTGCCCATATTGCTTTAATTTAAAACATTCAATGTTTCACTTGACTCATTGTTTCCAATATTTATACTTTTTGAAATGACCATAACCTATTTTCTTGTTTTATTCGGCGCCGCGGGGCGAAAATACGAAATGGCATTTATTAAAAGTCAACATATACTTTCGCACCGCCAGACGAAAAACACAAAAATACAACTACGTCACATCTTTGTCGTACTTTCGCTCCGTCGGGAGCGATGCAAAAATACGATTATAAAATAAAGTTATGACTTTTCGTTTTTTCGTGCTTAACCCTGGCGATCGCAAAGCAAACCTGCGACATGGCAAAAATCAGCCACCACTGTAAACTTTAACGAAAATAACGTTAGTTTTTTAATAAATATTTGCAGATATTCGTGCAATAACATTTTCTTACTACTGCGTGTATTTCATGCGATATTTCCACTTATCTAAATGACATACATACAACTGCATTCATATTTAGCCCGGCTGCTGTCATCGCAATGGTAAATTAAAAAAAAAGAATATTTAACCTGTAGGAAAGTTATAGTCAAATGTAGGAATTCAAGTGCCAGGCAATGTCTTTACGAAGCGCGCAAAGACATGGGCGACGGAATCTTTGTACAGAACAGCATTACAAAGTTTCGAGAGTGACTGTGTTTTGAAGCCCGACAACTTGTCCGTTCAAAAAAGCTGGATCGAACATGGGTTGCATGATGTTGTGTTAACCCTTTCCCCCATGAGCATATTGTGAAAAATGGCCATTTTCACTGAAAAGCCTCCTGTTACAAGTTCAAACTGCTATGAAACTATGAAAAATGCTTCAATACTAATCAAACTTGGCACAAATGTTGACTGGACCATTGCCTTTGTAACGACATGCTCAGTCTTAAATTTCCTGTTACCATGGCAACGAGGGGACATCTCAAAATTGCCAAAAATCACTTTTTTGCCTCGATTTTTTCCATCAAAATTTATTTCAAAGTGATGCAACTTCTCAAGGGATTGAGATAGAGTCAAAGGCTTTTCAGCGTTGGTTACACGTTACCTTATGATCGACCTGGGGTCATTTTAAGCCTCTCACAAGTCCAAAATTTTCTCCGCCCCCCTTCAAACCCCCCAAACAGAAGGGGGCACATCCCCCTTCTGGCAACCCCCTGATGTAATATTTGGATGGGGGACGGCGCCGAAAAAATCGTCACTTTTTTTAACAACATTTCTCAAACGAAAGACAGTGTTTGGGACCTAAATAGGGCATTTTTCACTGTTTGAGGCCTCAAAAAGGGGGGGGGGGGCAAAAAGCCGTCGAAACACGCTTATATAAGGGAAAAGGTTAATGCAACTCTACTACCGCGAATCGACCATTAAGAATCTGGACAGAACATTTATATCAAAGATTTGTCAATTATCGAGTCAATTACAGATGGTTCTGTCTATAATCTTTTCTAGACAGTTAACGTAAAAAATGTCGCCACTTTTTAACTGTGTTGATGTATTGATAACCTATTGTTAAATAAAACATCAATAAGACTCCGCAATCTTACTCTATTGATATATATTCTTATAACATAGAAAATATTGTTTATAGCGAGCTCGACGAGCTGGCCCTAGGGGCTTGCTCGCAAAGCGAGCTTTACGGTAACGCGAGTACCTGCTAAGTGGTGGTTTTGAAAACTTTCGTCCGAAATACCAAATTGGACACATCGCAATTTTTCGAATTTAAAGATAACGATAAAAACTGAGGAATTCTGACTGAAAACGGATGTGTAGACTGGTCACCCGCGCACGTCTATGGGAACCATTATTGGACAGGGAACCAGAATAACGGAAGCTGTGTATAAACTATCGAATGACAGTTTTAAAACGGAAAATGTAAAATGAAAATTGAAGGCGCCATTTTGTTTGAAAAATCTGATAAATAAAAACAATTTTTGTCGAATTTTGTTGTGAAAACTATCTAGAATGAAAGAAAATGGTCTAACTAAGAAAATGAATCCGAACACCAATATATTTTATTCAGTCGTTAACGCTGAACAGACGTTTAAAGTATTGTTTACGTGACGTCAGAGTGTAGCGCCAAACAGCACGTGCAAAACAATCAAATCAAGTACGCTATTTTAATGTCGCAAACGTTTTAAAGGGATACTGCAGAGTTCCAGATAATTTTTTGGCACTGGGTAAATACTCAGGCAAAATAATGACAAAAATATAAAAATGATCTTCTGTACTCAAATCACCCTAAAATTACATTTTTGAAAGTCCCAGCATAAATTTCTGTATAAATTCTATATATTTTGGGTTTGAAGTGTAAATATATCTATATATGTTGAACAAAATTTAGATGCCAACAGAATCACCGAATAGTTTAAAAACAAGTCATGTAATTTAAACAAACCCTGCAAATTACAATAACAGGTATTGTGGATATTGTATGATTGAAACAAGTCTAAGTAATTGATTTAACATGTTCTTTAACGTTTCCAGAGTACAAAGTGATAACTATTGTGAAATCTTCGCTGTAACCTGACCCACGCGGGTCACGTTAGGAAAACACCATTTTATTCTTTATATGGAGAAAAGTTTTGTTCCTTTGACTGTTAAGTGTGTTCATTTTGAGAAATTTTATAGAATAATGAATGAAAAATTCAAAACTAAGACATGAAAATTTTGCCTGTGTCTCCCTTTAAGTTTCACATTTATTTCACTTTTAATAATCTTTATTTCGCTTGAAATTAGTTAGATATGAAAGTTGTCAGGAGAAATGTCTGCCTTGATGTTATTTAATCTAACAAAAGATTTAGTAATAAATACTTGAATCAATTTCCAAGATATGGGGGCTGGGCAGCACCGCCTGACATAAAATTGAAATATTCTCAGTTGGAAAAACGAGCATGTAGTTGTTTAGTTAACACTATTTTTTTTAGGTATTTTTATCTTTTTCTATCTCAAATCAATATATACATTTAAACAACAAACTCTGATCATTATGTACACCCAAAACAAACACACATCATTTATCAGCCACTTATATGAAATATCTTTTCACGCATACGTCTTTTATACGAAACAAGACACCTGGCGAGCCCAAGCTCTAAACAACTTATGATCAAACAAAACAATAAAATCACCACAAAATGAAGAACACAAAAATGAATAGTTTTACAACTCTAAGATACAGTATAAACCACAAACATACATCCAACAATATTTACTTCACACAATCTAATCAGCATCAGAAAACAACTTAAACTAAAGCACCCAATATTTACATATATCCTCAAAACAAAGCATCAACTAATATAAACTTGACCAGACAAACATTCAACCAATATCAACCAATTATATCTTCACAAACAGATATAACTCAACAACCAAAACAACTAATTACAACCAATAAACCCTGATCAATTAAGATCACCACAATTATATTCAACCACTTCAACAAACCAACAAAACTCCCTTCAAAACAACAAAATTCTCTTCTCAATAAAAAAATAACCGCTACACACTATCAGCGTGTCTCTCCTAACTGATGTAAAATCTCTCTCAAAACGCGCATATTTGCTAGCTTAAACGATTTGACCTTTAAACATGTATACATATTTTATACTCCCAGCAACAGGTTTATAAATGAAACTGTACATTGAAATCTGATACACTTCAGTGTATCGCTGACTCGTTGTAAAAAAAAACTATCTACAGTGAAACTGTATGATTATTCTGACAAAAGTGATGCATGTCTTCAAGATATATCAATATAAAAAGTTAACAATTTACGAATCTGTCATTAGCAATCATGGCTGATAACGTATTTACATGTATTAACTGCTCCGAGATGGTCACCATGCGGCAGCAGGCTGTTTGTTGTGACGGATGCGCAAAATTGGCAGCACAGGAAGTGCAAGAAAAGTAAATGACTTTCATTTTAGGTAAAATACTTAATGAAATCTAAACTGGGTTTTTTTAAAATGTAATATGAACTGAATTCTTTAACTTTTATATTTAATTAGCATATATATGTTATATCTAAAAATTATTGAATATACAAATTTTATTTACAACAATTGTTATTTTCTAATCTATTGTAGTAGTTATAGAGAACTTCATAGACTCATATATAACAATTGTTTCTATTTGTTGTTTCAGGAGGAAGTACTGGTTTGACGGCAGGGCAGTACCGACAGATGGTAAACGGAACGCTAGAGTTAGAATGGTTCTGTGACAGATGTATCAACGAAGCGCCCGAAAATACACCAGCTTCTCCATTACAAGATGAACTGATGAACATCACGTACGTTGTCCAAGACGATGAAGTCCACCAGATGCAAGAAGATGAGTCAACCGTCATGAACACGAATTCAACCTACCTAGAAGACAGATCCTTTCATATCAATGAACGAGACCACAACCGACAGCAGGCCCACCTGACGCTAGATTACCTACAGATATTCCGCTAGATGATGTAATACTACCAGACGGGCCATTGACTTTCGAACTCGTAGATGGGGGTACCAAGCGTGAGGCACCGAAACCTGTCAGTAGTGATGGTCACACATATACTCGTATGGTATGTCGTTAATTTCTTCTTTATTTTCTATCTATAGTCTTCCATTACATAGAAACAATCACCATTAATGACTATGTCATTCTGTTCAATTTATTAATATATAGATATATACATGTAGATGTAACTATAATCACGTTTTATTTTATTATTTCAGAGGACGGTGGGAGAGCGAATTTATTGGAGATGTAGTGTCAGAAATAAAAACCTGAAGTGTGGTGCCAACGTAAAACAGTACAAAGACCTGTTCACTCCTAGTGTTAACGGGCATCAACACCAACCTGAGCCCGGCGCATTGAAGAAGACGAAGATAGCAGCTAAGGTACCTTTTCATACTTGCTTAATAAATGAATTAATATATAAATGTCAATTTTATGTATTCTGATTGTATTCGTATAATAATACAATAATGTAACAATTAAATAACTTTCATATTGTGCAATTATCAACATGTCTTTCAACTGAAGGAGATGTCCAGACAAGACGTATTTAAACCGGCTGCCGAAATAGTGGATACAGTGATGACGCAGATGACAACAAACGGGGACATCTTACAGAAACCCGAACTTCTTACCAGGGCAGCAAATCTACACCGACAGAAACTGAGGCCAAATGAACCAACAGATCTGGAATTTGATTTGACGTAAGATTTATAGTTGTAATCAATATATATAATCATACATTAATAATAATATATTAATAATCATATATATATAAAAAATTATAGGAAATTATTTTTGAAATCATTGACGTTGTATGTTTACTAAATCAACTTTACATTTATTCCGACATTATTTATTACATGATGGCACAGAAGGATCAACACACGAGCAGGACGTGCGGACTTGGGATTGTACATGTTACTACCATTATTATAGAGGGAGGCCGAGGTTGTTGATCTTCAAATTCGTCTAGTTTCGCAGCATCTCTTGACAAGACTACATCGTAAAAGTTACGCCAGAATCCATGGAGCCTTATTCGACGCCTGGGACAAGTACGAAGATGATGAGATGACTACTTCCCAACTACTGAGACTGTGCAGTCACATCACCGGAATAGGATGCAACAACATCAACGACGGGATTTATGAGGACGGTTTTTAAGTGTTATATATAAAAGTGATGAATAAAGAATACAAAAATTTACAGGTTTCACTAAATGTGTATATATTTGTGTAAATTTTAAAAAATTTCTTTTTTTCAGGTTTTACTTTCGTATATACGTATATATATATTTATTTATGTATATGTTAATGTAATAAAAACGTTTAAATCATAGTTTTATATCTTTTGAGTGGTGAATAAAGAATTGTTGTTTATTACATAGAAATCATGATGTATTCTTTTGAATAATATGCATACCTCATTTGTTTATATAGAGAAAAAATAAAGTATTTAAAAAATATGTGTTGTTTATAATGATTACGTAATCTTTCGAGCTTTATTTTTTTTAGTATATATGTCGATTTTATTCTGATTAAAAGCATTTTTTTTCAGCTTTAACTATTTGTATATATAGTTTGACATAGATTATAAAAATAAACTTGTGTGAAATGTAATTTGTGTTGACTCTTTAGTTTTTTTTCAGGTTGTACTTTTAAACATATATATATTTCTATGATGTTGTTTGTTCACTGAGATCTTGTGTTATTATTTTATGTAAATATCATTATTATACTAAAGAAAATAATAAATAATATGTTTAAATTTTCAATATCTTGTCTTTATAATTGCATGAAAATGTGTGATAAATGTGCCCATTATACAATAGCTATTGTTCACTATATAAATTAAGTTAGCCGAAACCACTACCTGTTTTACTATATAAGATCAGTTAGACGAACCGGTAGTTAGACGAAACCACTCCCACCCGTGTGACGTCACACGCACTCGTCACTGCATTTGAAATAAAAATGAGCGATTATAATACTATTTCACGTTAAAAGTACATCGAGCTCGCTTTGAGGCTTTGTCTTTTTCATATTAGATAATTTCTATGAATAGACAATATTATTTTATTCAACACATACTAATATAAATTAATAAAATGCATTGATAATTGTATTTTATTGCCACATTTTAAATTTTGAACTCCGTTGCCACCGTTGTGTTCGTTGCGCCAAAAATCTCCGTTGCATATTTAAGTGGCACCACTGGATAATTTTAGTGTTCTATAGTAAATCTATAATGGTATAACAAACTTAATTACATAGATGTTCAAGTTCTTTGGATACTTTGACACACTGATGTAATCAGATAGATTAATCTGAGCAGTTTATTGCTTGTCCATTCAACAGGAAACCAGGATGTGGACTGAGGGAATACTGGGACGTCCCATCTCACCAAGGTCAATCACCACTATATTTCGGTTAGGTCAGTGACCACCACACTCCTCCCCGTCCTATTTGAAAAGGCTAGCTACCAGATAAGACCTTTCTAGTATCTAATCCAGCACTCAATACGAGCCTATTGAATGATTTCCTGGATCCTTACCAGTACTGGTACTGTACCCTGCTCTAGTACATGTACCAAATAGGTGATTATCATTAACAATCACCTGAGCAGCTCAGCTATGACTTGACCAGCTGAGCAGCCCCACTAGGACTTACTCAATTACTTGAGCAGCCGACTATGCAGAATTCTACGACTCACTCAATCACCTAAACAGCCCACTATGCAGAATTCTACGACTCACTCAATCACCTGAGCAGCCCACTGTAGAATTTATTAGAATGAATTGTCACCAGTAGCACCCTGAGAAGAATTAACCAACATTAGTCTCTAACAATCACCAACAAACATAGAAACCTCCTTCAGGTCTAATTGATTAACTGAAGACTTTTCTCTTACTACTGTCAAAACACTCTAACCCACTCATGCACTGGTTCAAACTCAGATGCAAGGATATGCAGCCTATATCTAGAGACTACCGCAACACCTATCACATCTACCAGCTTAACTCATGAGCATCTTGAGGATTATACCCCAATCCTCAATATAAGACCTTATCTTGACAACCAACAATCCAGACTCAGATTTATATTCAATGACCAACAAGAAGTAACCTTCACCCGCAAGCTGTGATACCACATTACAATAACCTGAATCATAAATCTCCAGTCTTATATTGTTACCTCCCAAAAAAGACAACACATTTCCTTTGATAACTGTTATAACTCTGACATTATTTCAAGAGCTAAACCCAACAGATAACATCATGACAATTACTACTTCAGTTCTGCAAGATGCTCATTCTTTTTCTGCCATAAGAAACCCCCAACCACGCAATCCAATATTGTACTGAACATTTGTAATGATGACTATTAACAGATGCCTGCATCCAAATAGATCCCATACAAACTGTCATATAAATTGCTTGTCGGCCTAACAAGCAACTTACCAAATTACATTATAGGTCATCTAGCTCAGAAGAGACGGGAACTGCGTGCTTGGTGACCCCCTACATAGCAGTGAACTTAACTGACCAGATGCAACTTGCTTGTCTATATGGGAGCTAACCGTCTCTTAATGGTGACTATATTGTTACCTAACATCTCAGTTCTGGGACTCATATTTCTGTAAATAACACCAGAATGGACTCTAGGGCCTTTTGAAACATAATCACCAATAAGCTCGCAACTCATTATTACTAAGATGGTTCCTAGATAATGAGCTTACACTCCTGGGATTCATTCCCAAGGTCCCTAATTACCAAGACTGATTGTAACACACTCAATGACAGATGCGATTTTAACCTGAAACCCGTAGATTTTGGTTCCTTCCCTGGCAGGCTTCCCAAGACCCTTAGTGACCCAAGTGATCTTTTACTTGCCAATAGCACCACATCTACATCGTCAATAAAGGATCCCCCAATTCATGGGCCATCATAAACTAATTGACACCTACCACAAGGCAATTTTCCCCAAATCGATTTCCCACATGGTACCAGACATTACATCATTTTAAATACCATGATTACGATTTGTTCTGGGCCCCAAATCGATTTCCCACATGGTACTAGACATTACATCATTTTACGATTTGATTTGTGCTGCAGCAACTTACACCGGGATAGATCCTTCAACCATCCCGCCAAATTACCTTGTGGCTCCCAAAACCAATAAACCACCTTATATGAGTGATCAGTCTATGGTATGCAATCAGCTAAACTACCAGATAAATTAAATTACCCCATGGAAGTTCTTCTCTGACTAATCACCAGATAAATTTAATTACCCCAATGGCGGTTCCTATCTGCAGCTACCCTCACCCCCAACATCACAAACTGGCTGAGCTGAGCTTTTCCTGCTGCTACCCTTACCCCACTAGTACTAACTGGTACGAGGCAGGCTTTTAGTCCCTACGACTTATTCCAACTACAAGGAATTACCTCAAGTTGATTTCCTACATGGCACCCTGGATCCAAACACCATGATTACAACATGATTTTCCCCAGATCAATATCCTACATTTTATTCTTTCCAATTCCCTTCCCCCCTTTGGGATTAGCAGAACCACACATTAGAATAAACATGATATCGACCCAACATTGTCGTCTTAAAACAACTAAAAGCATTTTATAAACTTTTAGGGCTATCCTTTGACCTTAGCCTAATCAACTGTGAAAGCCTTCTCAAACTTATCTTCAAGTTCCTCAATAGCCTCTATCACAGTTTCACAAGTCACGGAAGAGTTATCTTCATCAGAATGAACTTCATAACTATCAGTACTGACTGAAGAAACCCTCTTTCCTTTACACCTTTCACTGCGTTTGCTCCTACCAAAAATGGCCTCATGGCTCTGTTGGTACTTACGGACCAATAATTTGGCTTGTTCGACCGTGGATGGATCATGCATGTAAACATGGAACCCAGCTTGTTGGTCTAATAAACCATGGCAAAACCTACTTATAAACTGACTTGTTATAAATTGGACACATACCCCCTGAAAGGCTTTATCGGCTAAGGCACATAACCTGTCTGCAAAATACTGTATTCCTAGAAATGTTCGCGGATACAATATTTCGCGTTTTTCACAACGTCGGCATTTTCGCGGAGACAAACTTTCGCGGATATGTAGTAACCGCGAATTCCGCGAATGTAAAGTCGCTACGGTCTAAATTACAGCTTTTAGAGGCTACGTTTTTTGCATGACCTTGCCTGTTAGGTGCTTTTAATAATTTTATTTTTTTGACAAGTCGCGCCTAAAGCGCAACGTTACTCGATTCATTTTCATCTATTGACTAGTTGAACAAGAACGGTTTTTCCGTGAACACTTTCATATTTCTTTACCTTTTTCATTATGTTATTAAGTAAGATTTAGTCAGACCCGCTAGCTTCTATTCTCATTTGAATCCTAACTGACTTTATCTTCAAAATGTCGATACTTTTTTTACACATTATCGGACTGTATATCGCTTTCATTATAACAACATAACAGCTGTTTATCAATGTAGCACTTTATCGCTTTTGTACTTTTAACAAAGGATTACACCTACTCCAAGCAAATAAAATCCAAGTCATTCAATGTTCGCAAACTGTAAATGCGTTTGTCAACGCTGTAACTAGCAAATAACGTCAATAAGCATGATAATTACTAATAATTGATATTTTGTTTTTTTAGCGTGCAAACTAGTATCAATAACATACATAAATTATTCTTTACACATTTCTATAGCACCTGTGTTTATATGGTTTTTTTTGTGTAAGTAGATTATAATAAATATTCTGCACTTTTTAAGTTATATTTGGCTGAAGCTAGAAATGTTCGCGGATTTGTTATAAGTGACATATTCGCGGCTATAAAGATTCGCGGAATCATGCCTACCGCGAAAACCGCTAACTTAAAATGCGCGAAATCTTTTCTAGGAATACAGTAATCAAAAGAGATTCGCCCGGGTTTTGCAAAGCTTGATAAAATTGCCCTTGAGCGAGATTTGGTCACCAAACCGAGCCTCCAGTTTATCTTATAAAGAAGCATACGATTGCACTTCATAATTACATAATAATCTAAAGCTTTGCCCTCTAACGTCCAGCACAACGCACACAGTTTATCCCCATTTGACCACTGGCACCTCTCGGCATACCTGGAAAACTTAAAAATGAAAGCTTCCCAGCTGCCCTTGTCATCAAATGATAAATGTGTGGGCATTTTATCTAACGCTAGTCTTGACCTGGCTGATACAGGATAAACTGGTTCCCATCCCTCATGAGATAATGGCTCAAACACATTACCCCCCAATGAGGTGGTCACCTGTTCTTTATATAGAGACCGCATAGACCCAAAATCAGCAGGAATAGCCTGGGGAACCCTAGGTGTGGTAAACATATGCCCATTATACCCCATGCTACCACCCATCACAGGTCTACCTTCTCTACGCCC